GCCAGCCTTCTGGTTAGCAGTCAATAATATTTTTAATAATGCCTTCTATATTGTCTGGCTTTTCAGAGACTCATAGAAATATTTTGATCAGCCTACCAGCCTTCCTGCTAGCTCCTACTATATGCAAGAGGTAACACACACCAACACAGATCCTGACCACACGACTGTTCCCAAAACCCCCATATACATTCCAGCCTCTGTACTCTGCACCCCTTTCCTCAAATTCTTCTCTTTCTGTCCCTTCCCCACAAGCCCAATCAAGATTCTGCACTCTTCTATACCCCTCTTTCCCAAGAAAGTCTTTTCTTGCTTCTCTACCCTTCTTGTTATCTTCTGGGCTGACTTCAGAGCTAACGTTCAACCATTCTTCTCTTTCAGTTCTTAGTCATATTTCCTCTCTACCGCTTATTTGTTGGCACAAATTCTTTGTCCTCTCAGAGCTTGTCTTGATCTACCAATGGGGATAGTATTGTTAACCAAACCAAACCAAACTCACTGCCATCGAGTTGATTCGACTTATAGCGACCCCTCCTTGGGTTTCCGAGGCAGTATCTCTGGAAGTAGATTACCCAATCTTCCTTCTGAGGAGTGGCTGGTGGGTTTGAACTGCCAGCCTTCTGGTTAGCAGTCAAATGCCTTAGGCACTATGCCACCAGAGCTTCCTCAAAATGATGACCCATGCACGGTGCTGAGCCTCGTACCTAGCATATGGTAAACAGTTGTACATGGCATGTACTTTCTCCAAGCCTTAATTTCCATATGGGCAAAATAGGCCTTAATACTGATTCACTGGATTATGGTGAGGATCAGAGGTTTTATAAACATAAACAGTAGAAATTTATATACATATATAATTGATTGTCCTACAAAGGTTTTTTAGGGTACTATTCAGAAACTATTGATTGACTGTGAACATTTGGTATGTCTCCCTCCTAGGACCTGTTTCCTTGCTTACTCAGAAAGATGTTCTTGAATATTAAATAAATTGATGTTTTATAAATGAACAAGGAAGATTCCTTTTTAAGAAAATTCTGTGGTGAATCCTTTCACAAAGAAAAAGTAATCCTCTGATTCATTTATTATAAATATGTTGTTGTTGTCGGCTGCTATCAAAATGACTGTGACTCATGGCAGCCTTATATATAAAAGAATGAAACGTTGCTTGGTCCTGCATCATCCTCATAGTTGCCAGCCCTTATTGGCCCTCTGCTTCACCAAGCATGATGTTTTCCTCTAGTGATTGATCCCTATTGATGACATATCCAAAACAAGCAAGTCGGACAATGTTGGAAGTAGATCAGCAGGCCTTTCTTCCTAATCTGCCTTCCTGTGGAAGCTCCACTAAAACCTGTCCACCATGAGTGACCCTGCTGGTCTTTGAAATACTGGTGGCAAAGCTTCTGACATCACAAGAACACACCAGCCACCATAGTACAACAAACTGACAGTCAGGTGGTGCTTTGTAAATATAGATCTCTTTGCATTGCTTAAAATAAACTAAGGCAAGACTAGATTTTCTATAGGAAAGCAGAAGCATTAATTAGCATGCCTCACCTCGCTGAATGAGTTGGTTAAAACAAAAAAGAAAACCTAACTCATTGCTGTTGAGT